TTTTGCACTACCTCCAGCAGCACTAATTGTGATTTCAAGTCCACATTAGTATGGTAAGAGGTTTTACCTAACCAGTCTTGAATGTGAAAGAAAAAGCATGCTAAATTATAGAATCATAGATGTGGCAAGTTTTTTACATGTCCACTACAAATATATTGAAGGGTTTTAGGTGTATTTTAGTTTCTCCTCTATTCAGATTAGTTTGGTTTCAGCTGACATTAATTTCTGGGCATATCTATGTTTTAAAGGTAGTAGGATAGTCTGTATTGGGTATAATAGATGGGTGAAGTTAACCAGGTGGCATAGGTTAGTTTCCAGTGTTTAATTCTTGTGGTATAATTTGTCTGAGATTTCCCTCGGTATCACCACTCTCAGATATGTGATTGATTTCAATTGAAGTTTCATAGCACAGTGCCTTGCCTATTGTGCATCTCCAGAAGGAGGGTATTTAGAAACTGTACAAAATTATGTATATGTGTTGTATTACATTTGCGATTGGGTCTCTGGGTCTGAAAAAAAATGGATGATAATAATTAGAGATGAGCGAATTATTCAAAAATTCGATTCGGCTGATTCGCCGAATTTGCGGGAGAAATTCGATTCGATGCGAATTTATTCGCCGCGAATTTAACTTATTTAAAGGGTTTCTAGGCTTCAGAGAGCCTTTATATTAGTGCAGAACACTGTACCTTTAATTTAAATGCCCTTGGAGTCTGCTGGGGAAGAGAAATAATACTGTCAGTCAGTATGACATGCAGATGAGTGCCGTCGATCTTAGAATCACCGCACACTTCACTCATTTGGGCAGTCACGGGGCACGACGAAGAAGAAGAAGAAGAATGAAAAGAAGAAGAAGAATGAAAAGAAGAAGAAGAAGAATGAAAAGAAGAATGAAAAGAAGAAGAATGAAAAGAAGAAGAAGGAGAATGAAAAGAAGAAGAAGAAGAATGAAAAGAAGAAGAATGAAAAGAAGAATGAGAAGAAGAATGAAAAGAAGAATTAAAAGAAGAATGAGAAGAATGAAAAGAAGAATGAAAAGAAGAAGAAGAAGAAGAAGAAGAAGAATGAAAATAAGAAGAAGAATGAAAATAAGAAGAAGAATGAGAAGAATGAGAAGAATGAAAAGAAGAATGAGAAGAATGAAAAGAAGAATGAGAAGAATGAAAAGAAGAAGAAGAAGAATGAATGAAAAGAAGAAGAAGAAGAATGAAAAGAAGAATGAAAAGAAGAAGAAGAATGAAAAGAAGAAGAAGAATGAAAAGAAGAAGAAGAAGAATGAAAAGAAGAATGAAAAGAAGAAGAAGAAGAATGAAAAGAAGAAGAAGAAGAATGAAAAGAAGCAGAAGAATGAAAAGAAGAATGAAAAGAAGAAGAATGAAAAGAAGAAGAAGAAGAATGACAAGAAGAATGAAAAGAAGAAGAAGAATGAAAAGAAGAAGAAGAAGAATGAAAAGAAGAAGAAGAAGAATGAAAAGAAGAAAGAATGAAAAGAAGAATGAAAAGAAGAAGAATGAAAAGAAGAAGAAGAAGAAGAATGAAAAGAAGAATGAAAAGAAGAAGAAGAATGAAAAGAAGAAGAAGAAGAATGAAAAGAAGAAGAAGAATGAAGAAGAAGAATGAAAAGAAAAAGAAGAAGAAGAATGAAAAGAAGAAGAAGAAGAAGAATGAAAAGAAGAAGAAGAAAAGAATGAAAAGAAGAAGAATGAAAAGAAGAATGAAAAGAAGAATGAAAATAAGAAGAAGAAGAATGAAAAGAAGAAGGAGAATGAAAAGAAGAATGAAAAGAAGAATGAGAAGAAGAATGAAAAGAAGAATGAAAAGAAGAAGAAGAAGAATGAAAAGAAGAAGAAGAAGAATGAGAAGAAGAATGAAAAGAAGAATGAGAAGAAGAATGAAAAGAAGAATGAAAAGAAGAAGAAGAAGAATGAAAAGAAGAAGAATGAAAAGAAGAAGAAGAAGAATGAAAAGAAGAAGAAGAAGAATGAGAAGAATGAAAAGAAGAAGAAGAAGAATGAAAAGAAGAATGAAAAGAAGAAGAAGAATGAAAAGAAAAGAAGAAGAAGAATGAAAAGAAGAATGAAAAGAAGAAGAAGAAGAAGAATGAAAAGAAGAAGAAGAATGAAAAAGAAGAATGAAAAGAAGAAGAATGAAAAGAAGAAGAAGAATGAGAAGAAGAATGAAAAAAGAAATTAAAAGAAGAATGAGAAGAATGAAAAGAAGAATGAAAAGAAGAAGAAGGAGAATGAAAAGAAGAAGAAGAATGAAAAGAAGAATGAAAAGAAGAATGAAAAGAAGAAGAAGAAGAAGAATGAAAAGAAGCAGAAGAAGAATGAAAAGAAGAATGAAAAGAAGAAGAAGAAGAAGAAGAATGAAAAGAAGAAGAAGAATGAAAAGAAGAATGAAAAGAAGAAGAAGAAGAATGAAAAGAAGAATGAAAAGAAGAAGAAGAAGAAGAAGAAGAATGAAAAGAAGAAGAAGAATGAAAAGAAGAAGAATTCCAGTACAGCAAAAAGTGTATCTGCAGAGAGCTCCGCTATTTCTGACAGTTCTCTGACAGTTCTGACAGTTCATTTACAGCGGTTGAAACATTGTATCTATTTATTTCCGAATAAAAACATCTGTATCCTAAATGGAAACAAATAGATACAATGTTTCAACCGCTGTAAATGAACTGTCAGAACTGTCAGAGAACTGTCAGAAATAGCGGAGCTCTCTGCAGTGACACTTTTGCCGGCTGATGGGGGAAAATTCGATTCGTGCATCCGAAGTTTGCTAAAATTCGGATTCGATGCGAATCGAATTTTTCCTAATATTCGAAACGAATTCCACTTCGCCAAGTTAGATTCGCTCATCTCTAATAATAATCTGGGAATAAAGCAGATTTTACATGTTCTTATCATACACCTCCCACTATGAAAAACCTTCTTTACATCCAGGGCCAGCAAGGCCAAGGATGATGGAAGACCTGCTATTAAGTCGGGAATTATCATCACCAATCTGTTTTCCATAATTCTGAACACAAATTTGTAAGCTGATGCAAGTTGGGTAGTTGTACGTCTCTCCCTTGTTTTGGTAAGAGTCTGATATATATCTATTGTGTGGTTACACCTTGCATTTTAAGACATTATTAACAAATGACCTGAATGTAAGCTACCAACTTCTTACTTACTTTGTAGTCATTATGGTCTGGTGCCATTTAGAGTGCCCCCTCAGATGTGATTTCAGCATTGAGCGGAGCGAGACTGCAGACAGTGGGAGAGTGACAGTATATAGAATTTAACCCCTCCCTGAAGTGGGGATGTTTCCTGGATAGGAATTTAAAATATCTGCTAAAAAACACAGTATTGTCCTTTGGCATAGTGCTGATGAAACCCCTATTATATTAGTTGTATAACATGAACTTGAAGGTTGTCTGTCTCTAGCTAGATTGGGTAATAATCTATCAGATTTGTTACCATATTTAAATAAGATTTGCATCCCTGAAATTTCTAACATGTAAATCATTATGTCTGATCCAGTAATCACAGATTTGTTTCATATTAATACACTCAGATCTTGCCTTATCTCTCAGTAATTTTTTAAAAGTCCACACTTTCCAACATACCACCATATAGCTTTTCACACCTCTTCACAGAGACTGCACACTCCAAGATTCTACCCACCATTACTGTCTTAGCAGTGTTCCAGATGAGGAAGCAATTATCCATATTAGAATTGTTTTTTATATAATACTGCTACCACAAATTTTTAACTAGCGTTCTGAACGTGTCAACAGATTATAAAAAAGATGAGGATTTCCATGCTACTGAAAGACCTGTTGTTCTCAGACCAGGTATTGACAAAAAAATATTGGGTCATGATCCAAGATCACTAAATCTCCTGTATCAGTTGATAATATTTTAAAGATTAAGATGATTAAATATGGAAAAGAAGGTCTCTATACTTTGCATAACTTTTTGAGGGTGAGAGTAAATTTGCAGTCTAGGGGATGCAGATGCCTCCAGAAGTCATTCTGCTGTTACCACTCCATTCAAATGAATGTCCTGAGCACTGGGAGTTTTTCATTCAGAGGAAGATACAGTATGTGTTCTATCCTCATATGGGTTAAAAACTGCACTGACGTCCACCCCAAGTAGTAATGGGCTGTATTCATCATGCTGTCAGATAACGGTAAGTAGCTTGTTACAAAAGCTTGTTGTTACTGTTCAGACCGTAAACATCAACTACTTTCTTGTAATTAATTTGTAATGTAAGGAATGTTCATTCATCTTCTTGGATGTCTCTGGATTGGTGCATAATTGTACAAGGCAATGATTTATGATTCACGGTGAGCACTCTGGCTTTGCGATTAAGAGTCAGGGCCTCCCACTATTTTACTAACCGCTAAAAGAAAAAGTGAAGTAGGTACCACAATGTAGTTTTTTCAGCTTATAAATCCTTTTTATTACACATCATTAATTAGAAACAAAAAAATGAAAAATGTCACACTCTTCTCCCATTAAAAATAGACATTGTTGCTCTTCATGTACCTAAAAGACCAGCCACATCCCATCTTTTGAACCTGAATTCCAGTGAGACTAAGCATTTAGGATAATATATTTCTAAATTGGATGTCTAATGTACCTATTGGTTTAGAGGATGCTACTTGAATCTCAAGTTATTGAAGTTAACAACCCTTGTGCAATAAAATACAATTCATCTTTCTATAACTGGAATGTAACATGCAGCTACATGTATTTGCAAAAATAATTAGTCAGCATAAGATGACACTGACATTGCATAGTCCCCATGACCTAATCAAGATGTACATGAAAATCTGTTATTTCGCAGTTAGTTGAATGCTTATTATAATGTCCTGTAGGGAGAAATCAAAAGCCATTGCCCTTCTAATCCCATATCCCAATATATATATATAAGATATATAAGATAATATAAGATGCTTTCAGCCAAAGTGTGGGAGTGAAGAGAAAATTAAAGTGTTACTAAACCCAGGACCCTGCATTCACTATATCTGGTCTTCCACAGTACACAGAAAATGGAAGTGGAATTATTTTAGTAAATATAAACTGTTAAATACATTTTCTCATTAGCATGTGATGCAGTCTTGTGACTTCTTACCAGTGTCCAGCAGAGCACGTTAAAGCTTGTAGGAAGAGTTTTCATTCTGCTCTAGGAGGATGCAGAACCCCTGACCTCTGTCTGAACAGCGCTGATTTACGCTGTGCTGATCACATGCACTCTCCCAAAAAGAAGAAAAATATCTCTAGCAATACACACCAAACTGAGCATGTGCAGATTGACTCCACACGATATGTCTTATCAGGAGATAAAAGGGGAACACTGGAAGAAGGGAAGGATCACAGAAGTCAGGATCAAACAGCATTTTTACACAATGCAGAGGATTAACCCCTTAGGTTCCACAGTGAGTATAACAAGCATGCTTCACTGCATATACAGACTGATTTTATTGTTGTGGGTTTAGTAACACTTTAAGAGTCCTCTTTCTAAACTGATGTCAGCCATAAAGTTGTGGATGAAGGCACTACTTATTGTTATGCAAACTGGGCTGACACTTACTATTCCCCTTATATTTATACTCCATATGCCACCTCTGGAGTATATATATATATATATATATATATATGTGTGTGTATATACAGTGCTCAGCATAAATGAGTATACCCCAACAGATTACAGATTTGGCAGAAAACCTTTACTTTTCTTGCAGAATCAACATTTTCTATGGGACACTATACTACAAAATACTCCCACAAATGCAGGCAATTGATTGCAAACAAGATTTGTTAATGTGCATATTCAAAAAAGTATTTTTCCTAACAAATTCATTCAAGACCATTTTGCAAAAATGAATACACCCCAATTAAAGTCTTAGGAGCAAAGCTACATTTAGACAACAAAATCCTACTTAACAAGAATTCAACTACAGGTCAGTCTAATTATTCATTAAACAGGTGTCCAGCAGACAGCTGATTATAAAAAGGTGTTAATTAACAAAGAAAACCCCTTCCCATTTCATGCTGTCAGCGATGGCACCACATGGAAGAGAAATATCACAAAGCCTGAGAAAGAAAATAATTTCTTTACACAAGAAAGGTGAAGGCTACAAGAAGATCAGCAAAGCTTTACTTATCAGTCAGAATACTGTAGCAAAAGTGATACAAAAATTTAACAAAGATGGAACTGCAACCATCTCACAGAGATGTCCATGAGGTCCACGGTTAACACCTCAATAGTAGTCTCTTCTGTAGAGAAGGGTTGAAGAGGATCGCCATGCAAGTTCGTTCGCTAAAGAAAGCCTAACTGGAGTGATAGTTTCCCATGATACAATATGGCGTACACTGCAGAGGAATGGCATGAATGGGCGTCATGCACGAAGGAAGCCTCTCCTAAAGCCCATACACAATAAAGCCCACCTAGAATTTTCCAAGGCCCATGCTGAAAAAGAAGACTACTGGGACTTTGTACTCTGGGTGTGATGAGACCAAGATAAATGATTTTGGAACTGACGGCTTCAAAACTGTATGGCGTCGCAAAGGTGAGTAGTACAAAGAAAACAGTGAAACATGGTGGTGGCAGTGTCCTTGTGTGGGGCTGCATGAGTGCTGCTGGAGTCAAGGAGCTGCATTTCATTGATGGTATCATGAATTCACAGATGTACTGCTTTATATTGAAAGAGAAGATGCTGCCATCACTCCGTGCCCTTGGTCGTTGTCCACTTTTCCAACATGACAATAATCCAAAACACACATCTAAGGCCGTTGTTGCATTTCTGAAGACGAACAGGGTGAAAGTGATTCAGTGGCCAAGTATATTGCCTGATCTGAACCCCAATTCTGAAGAGATAAGTTGAGCATCACTCTCCAACCAGCATCCAGGCTCTAAAAAAGAGGTTGTTCTTGATGAATGGAAAAATATAGATGTTGCACTAGTCGCCAATGTGTTCACTCCATGCCTAGAAGACTTGGTGCTGTCCTTAAAAATCATACAAAATATTAGATGGAATAGTTTTTGTTGTGGGGTGTATTCATTTTTGCATCAACTAACTTGAGTAAAACTGAAGAACATGCAATCTAAGTTATATTTATTAACCTTACTTTCACGTAATGAGCTAAACAAATGTTCTATAAAACGAAGTTTTGTCAAAATTTTGGAAATTGTTTTTGTGTACATTGAGATATTGATTAAAATCTTATTTTTCAAAAGAGGTGTACTCATTTATTCTGAGCACTGTGTGTGTATATATATATATATATATATATATATATATATATAGGCCACTATGATATCCAGCGATTCTGTAGGCTTAATGATAAAAGATAGGAAGTCATACTAATAAAACTTAAGCTGATACATGCTAGATCTGTGGTGTGCATCTTCATGATAGTAGCCCGATCAGTATTAAAAAAACATTACTCCATAGCTGACACCCCTGTTGTGCATTGCCACAGGTGTGAGCTCAGCTGTAAATATTCAATGGAGACAGTCCACCTGCAGATGCGCCATGTAGCTGCTATGCCTATTAAGCAAACCGATGATACCATAACAAATCACTGGAGCAGCGAAGCATCCAAAATTTGGTTCTGAAACATTACTGGTATTAGTGATTATGAGCACTGCGATGTGATCATAGAATAAAACATTGGACCTTTTACAGAGTTCCTTGGTGTGCTGGTGACACATCCTTTGCTTTGATAGGACAAAGCACACTGACGTGGTGTGGTTGTGCCCCCTACCCACCTGGTAGGGGTGGATACATAACCTTATACAGGCTCAGGTGGGTGTTGTCCTACCCCCCACCTCCAAACCTGGAAAGCGGCTGTTTAACAGTGACAATGCTTCAGATGAAAAAAATTGGGATATGCAAAACCCAATTTAGCCAGTTCCAGATAAATTCACTCTGGTGGTGGCATATGACTTGGCATGAATAGGGAGAGTAATGATTTTTTTTACTGTGTGTGCCATTTTGCACATACAGTTTCTTTTCAAATTCTTCAAATGTTAGAGAACTTGGGTGCATTTTAGAGGGAAACACTCATTGCAAGACATAAGGATATAAATATTTAGATGGGAGTTACAGTTGTGGATATATTCACTTGCGGAGTGAAGGAGATGGGTGTCCCCATCTCCTACCTCCGCTCCCATTTGTAATGCCGCCATCTTAAAAGAGCCATAGTTGGGATTAATTAGGCTGATTTACTGTAGATCTGGTCAGGTATGCACTGAACTATGTTCAATGAAAAAAACAAACTTTCATAGGTTACTTTTACAAAAACTAGAAATAAAACACTTGATCAATATCGAAGTGACAAAGATCCTCCCTGTAGTGTCCAACTTAAATAAAAAAGATAAAATTAGTCCAGAATCTTGAGCGTGTCAGTAGGGCCACCTTTATTGCAGGGCAAAAGGGGCAGCTGCCCTGGGCCCAATCACTGTTGTGGGGTCCAAAGCAGCTGCCCTTTGCAGCTTGTCTTGGAGGTTCCCAGTCCTGGTGGCAGGGAGAAGGCAAGCATCAAAGGCATCGAAAGCAGCTAGGATTAAGAGCATGGGAAAGAGAAGACCTCCACCACCTCCCGGACCCCCGGAAAGAAGAGCAGCATTGGGTGAAGCATCCCCAGTGGCAGCATCTCTCAGTGCATGGACTCCTCCAACCTCCCAGCTCGTGGGTCCGACAACAGCATCAGCCAGTTGGGGGACAGGCTGATAAGGGCCTGGAAGGACAAGGACGGACAAGAGCGCAGACAGCCAGGGACTGCAGAGCAGAGGAAGGAGCAGATCAGCCAGAATGAGAACGGACCCTGCCCGTTGCTGGCATGCCAGGTACCAGGCATTACACTCACCTACCAGCAGACAGGGACTGAGACAGGGAGGCACAGGAAGAACTGCAGACAGGGCTAGGGGTCTCTCTCTCTCACATTTTCCCCCTCTCTCCCCCCCCAACCCTTCCCTCTCTCTCTCACCCCTTTCTCTCTCTCTGCCCCTACCCTCTCTCTCACACCCCCTTCTCACCCACACTTCTCTAACCCCCTTCACTCTTTTGCCCCCTCTCTCAACCCCTCCCTCCCTCTCTCTCTCTCTCATCCCCCCCCCTGTCCCCCCCTTCTTTCTTTCACCCTCTCTCTCCCCCCCCCTCTCCCCCATCCCCCCCCTCTCTCTCACCCCTCCCCTCACCCCCTCTCTTTCATCCTCTCTTTCACCCTTCTTTTTTCCCCCCTCTTTCTCCTCCAACCCTCTCTCACTCCCACCCCCCCCCCCCTCTCTCTCCTTCACCCTCTATCTCTTACCCCCTCTCTCTCACCCCTCTCTAACCCCCTCTCTCACTCCTTTTCTCTCTCAGCCCCTTCTCTCACTTACCCCCCACCTCTCTCTCTCACCCCGCCTTCTCCCCACCTCACCCTGATGTCTCTCTCACCCTCTTGTCTCTCACCCCCCCTCTCTCTCTCCCACTCCTCTTTCACCCCCTTTCTCTCTCCCACTCCTCTCTCACCCCATTTCTCTCTCTCAGCCCCCTCACTCTCTTACCCCCCCTTCTCTCCCCCCTCTCACACTTCTGTCTCTCCCACCCCCTTCTTTTTTTTCCTCACCCCCCTTTCTCTCACTCCCCCTCTCTCTCTCACCCAGCTGCTATTTATTGTATGTCTCAGAGCAGGTGGAGAGCAAAATTGCATGCGGGGTGGGGGAACCAAGAAAATGTTTGTCCAGGGTCCAATCATTATTAAAGATGGCCCTGCGTGTCAGTGTAGATCAAGGAGGTGTTCTGATTGTTGTCGTCAGACACTGGTTTACGTGCGTTGTTGCGGAGGATTCAGTCAGTTAGTTGTCTTCAGGGATACATACATGGTGGTCATCAGGTTTGTTGAAAGTTGTAATTTCTCCATTGGATGTGTAGCACTACCCCGTTAGGGGTTGCTGTTGAATTTGGTTCCCCCTATAATCCTGCACAGCCAGTCAATCAGCATTCCCCACACTGCTTTCACCCACAGAAAGGAATCAGACCTTGAGCATTGTTTTCGTTACTTTATTAAGGGGATTAAACTTGGATAAGGTATAGGGGTGTATAGGATGCCCAAGGGAACTGAAGTCTGAGGGCAACTTCCTAAACTATTCACAGCTTCTCTTCTCTGGCACACAGTCTCTGTTGGAGTGCTAGAAAGCAGCTCCAGTTGTATTACTAGAGACTCTAGATGACTCCTCTTCACCCAGCAATCTGAAGGTTTCCTTCCTGAGCAGGGGATCTGGCTCATGTTCCCTTAAGTAAGGTGTACAGTCACTAGCAGAGGGCTAATTGCACCAGAGTGCTCTTTCCCCTATCCATTCAAATGCAAATTTACTCACTTAGATCCTCTATTGTACAGCTTTTGGAATGACTTCTGCTACCAAGCCTATCAGCTGGGCTGCTCCTTATTTGCCACACAGGAGGTCCTCTTTTAGGGGACCGGTGAGTCCTGAGGTTTCCTCCTTTCC